TATAAAACTCTTAGAAGTAAAAATAGGAAGAAGCTTCATGACACTGGATTTAGCAATGATTTTTTGGCTATGACATCAAAACCACAGGCAACAAAAGAAGAATAGACAAATTGGCTACATCAAAATTAAAAACATTTGTGTGTCAAAGGACACTGTCAAGAGAATAAAAAGGCAACCGTAGTTGGTTTGTCGCAGTGGATAAAGTGTTGGCCTGTAGACTAAAGGGTCCCTGGTTCAATTCCGGTCAAGGGCACGTACCTTGGTTGCAGGCGCCTCCCAGACCCAGGCCCTGATCGGGCTCATGTGGGAGATAACCAATTAATGTGTTTCTCTCATATTGATGTTTCTCTCTGTCTTTCCTTCTCTCTTCTACTCTCCCAATGTAATCAATGGAAAAATATCCTCATTTGAGGATTAATAAAACAAAAAAAGATTTAGATTTTTTTAAAAAGAGAATAAAAAGGCAACCCAGAGAATAAGAAAAATATCTGCAAATCATGTATCTAATTAAGAGATTAATATCTAGATTATATAAAGAACTCCTATAACTCGAAAACAAAAACAAAAACCAAATAACTCAATTAAAAAAAAAGCAAAGGAGCCCTGGCCAGTTTTGCTCAGTGGTTAGAGCGTCAGCCAGCCGGGGGACTGAAGGGTCCTTGGTTGGATTCTGGTCAAGGGCACATGCCTGGGCTACAGGCTCGATCCCCAGTAGGAATTGTGTAAGAGATAGCCGATCAATGATTCTCTCTCATCATTAATGTTTCAATCTCTCTCCCTCTCTCTTCTCTGAAATCAATAAAATATATTTACACTATACACAAAAATAAATTCAAAATGGATAAAGGACTTAAACATAAGATGGGAAACCATAAAAATACTAGAGAAATCCACAGGCAGCCCAATCCCAGATGTATGCCGAAGCAATTTCTTCACTGATACTGCTCCTAGGGCAATGGAAACTAAAGAGAAAATAAACAAATGGGACTATATCAAAATAAAAAGCTTTTGCACAGAAAAAGAAACTATCAACAAAACAACAAGAAAGCCCACTGCATGGGAGAACATACTTGACAATGTTATCACCGATAAGGGTTTAATCTCCAACATTTACAGGGAACTCATACAACTTAACAAAAGGAAGATAAACAATCCAATCAAAAAATGTATCTCACACCTGTCAGAATGGCTATCATCAACAAATCAACAAACAAGTGTTGGTGAGGAAGCGGAGGAAAAGGAACTCTCCTGCTCTGTTGGTGGGAATGCAGACTGATGCAGCCACCGTGGAAAACAGTATGGAGTTTCCTCAAAAAATTAAAAATGGAACTCCCATGTGACCCTGCGATCCTACGTCTGGAATATACCCCAAGAAGCTAGGAACACCAATCAGAAAGGATTTGTGCACCCCAATGTTCATAGCAGCACAATGCACCATAGCTAAGATTTGGAAACAGCCTAAGTGCCCATCAGCAGATGAGTGGATTAAAAAACTCTGGTACATCTACATAATGGAATATTATGCTGTGGAGAAAAAGAAGGAATTCTTACCATTTGCAACAGCATGGAGGGAACTAGAGAGTATTCTGCTAAGTGAAGTAAGCCAGTCAGAGAAAGATAAATACCACATGATCTCACTCATTTATGGAATATAATGAGCAACAAAAACTAATGAACGGGGACAGATCCAGAGACAGAGAAGCATCGATCAGACTGTCAAACCTCAGAGGGAAGATAGGGAAGGGTGGGGATAAGGAGGAGAGATCAGCCAAAAGACTTGTATGTATGCATATAAGCCTAACCAATGGAAATGAATACTGGGGTGTGGGGGGAGGGTAGGGAGGTGAGCGAATGAGTGGGGGGGGGGGGTAATGAAGAGATGAGGACACATATGTAATACCTTAATTAATAAAGAAATTTAAAAAATAAAAATAAAAATGGGCAAAAGTCATACACAGATATTTCTCCACAGAAGATATACAAATGGCCAAGAAGCACATGAGGAGATTCTCAGCATCACTCCTATCAGGGAAATGCAAATCAAAAACATAATGAGCTATCACTTCACATTTATTAGGATGGCTATAATCAAAATATCAGAAAATATATGTTGGCAAGGCTGTGGAGAAATTGGAACCCTCGTGCACGGTTGGTAAGAATGTAAAATGGTGTGGTCACTATGAAAACCAGTATGGCAGTTCCTCAAAAAAGTCAAATACAGAATTACCGAATAACCCAACAATTCCACTTCAGGTGTAGTATATACCCAAATAATAGAAAGCAAGGACTCAACCAAATATTTGTATACCAATGTTCATAGCAACATTATTCACAATAGTCAAAGATGGTAACAACCTAACAACCTAACTACTTCACTGACAAATGAGTAAACAAAATGTGATGTATATTATTATATACAGCCATGCAATGCCTAATGACAGGGATACATTTTGAGAAATGTATCCTTAGGTGATGCTGTCATTGTGTGAACACTATGGTGTACTTATACAAACGAACATGATATAGCCTGCTACTAGAACTACATGTACTTTACCTTTGTATGACTGGCAGCACAGTAGGTTTGTTTACACCATCATCACTACAAACAAGTGAGTAATGTGTTACATTTAGAGGTTAGTGGCTATGACACCACCAGGCAACAGGAATTTTTCAGCTCCATTATAATCTTACCAGAGACGTGGTGCACGAAATTTGTGCACGGGGAGTTGGTGACCCTCAGCCTAACCCTCTCCAATCTGGGACCCCATGGGGGATTGGGCCTAAACCGGCAGTGGGACATCCCTTTCACAATCTGGGACTGCTGGCTCCCAACTGCTTGTCCGCCTGCCAGCCTGATCACCCCCTAACCATGCCCCTGCCAGCCTGATCAATGCCTAACTGCTCCCCTGCCAACCTGGTCGCCCCTAAGTGCCCTCCCCTGCTGGCCTGATTACCCCTTAACAGCCTCTGCCTCGGCCCCCACCACTGTGGCTTTGACCGGAAGGATGTCCAGAGGGATGCCCTAAAGATGTCTGGTCTAATTAGCATATTACCCTTTTATTATTATAGATGGGACCATCATCAGATATGAATATGTGGTCCACTGTTGATCAAAACGTCATTATGTGGTGCATGACTGTATATTTATATATTAAATATATATTTATTTACTAGTAGTTACCAAATATATATAGATTAGTATAATAGTGGCTGCCAGGAACTGGGGAAAGAACTAATGAGTGATTATCATTTAATGGGTAAAGAGTTTCAGTTTAGAATGATGAGAAAGTTCTAGAGAAGGATGGTGGTTACAGTTGCACAATAATGTGAATGCACTAAACACTGGTATTATATGTACTTGAAAATAGTAAAAATGATAAATTTTATGCTATGTATAGTTTACCACAATAAAACTAAGTTTTTAAAAATGGTGATATACATGTCTTAAAGGACTTCTATATTATGGAAAAATAGGTTATAATACTGTTTGTACAGTAAGATCACCTTTCTGTTTAAAAATAAACTTCTTGCCCATATGAGCCCAAGAAAAGTTTTGATTTTCATCTTGGGACTAGAGCTGTGTTCCCTATGTGTGAGGGAGGCTGGGAAACTGAGTATTTAGCTTTCTTCACTCAGTAGGAGAGGAAGGATGGGTGGCAGACCAGGCCACTTGCCACACTAGGGATGGATGTCCTGAAACCGCTCTGTCCCTTTTTCTTTTGTATCAGTTAGCAAGTGAGACTAGCACATCTGCTCAGTGCAAAGAATGCTACAAAGATTGCAAGCTCCTATGGCTTTTCTCAAGATTTATACTACTTTTAAGTGAAAAATCAGAAAGTATCATCTAAACAATGTTGTTTGGGTAAACTTAATGTCTGCCTACTTATGAGCTGTGCCAGGTAAACACTTAAGATCAAGTATTCCTTCAACGAGGGGTATGTAACACCATTCCTTTCCTAAAGAGAAGTGTGCAGTAGTATAATCCAGTTCACAGTACTCCAGCAATGTCCTCTGACTGTACTTGTACCAGAAAGAGTGCTATAAAATGCTGACTTAGTAAAAATCTTAAAAGCACAACAATGACGGGCAGGAAAGAAGTGGGCTGGGAGTCAGAAGAACTGGGTCTGAGGTCAGGTTTTGCCACTTGCCACCCAAATATTCTATCATTCATCATGTTACTGAATCTATGTAACAGACTCTGGGCTATGTACTGGGAGGAGAAGAGAGGATGGAAGTGCCAAATATACAAGATAATCTGTCCTCAATAACAAGATCTTTTATTTGGGCAAGCCCCTTCATCTTGGAGACCTTCAACTTTTTCATCTATAAATCAGACATTACCAATCTCAAAGTGTTTTTAGGAAATAGGGTAATGATATTTCAACCTTAGTGCCCTTGACGTTCTGGGCCACATAAGACTTTGCTGTGTGTGTGTGTGTGTGTGTGTGATTGGGGCGGGGGAGGGGGGTAGCTGAGGGGGGGAGAGGGAGTGTTCTATGCATTATAGGATATTTAGTGTATTTAGTGGCATCCCTAGCCTCTACCCACTAGATGCCAGTAGTTCCCAGGTCACCGCTTCCACCCAGTTATGACAACCAAAAACTGTCTACGCACATTACCAAATGTCCCCTGAGGCAAAATTCACCCTAGTTGAGAACCTCTGAAAGCGGTGACATATATGAAAACATTTTAAAAAGCACAAAGCTTCAAATCAAATCAGCATTAATGTAAATCTATTTGTAAGATTACTTCTAAAAAAATACCCTTTTAGAAATTTACAGTTTCCCTGGGAATGTTTTATTTTCTATTTTCATATATTTTGCTTACCATTAAAAACCCTTCAGGGCTTTTTGGCTAATTTTCTTTATCCAAACAAAGCATTTTCACTAGAACACATATTTTAAATGTATCACTTTACTAACATGACAGTCAGAGTCAAACATAATTGTCATTTCTACAAAGCAGACATTTTATCCAAAATTAAAGTGCTCTGTGCCTACCTTTTAAGGACAAGGGACTGGATCTTGTGAATTCTGTATTTGACGGCCTGTGCTGTTTACGCACTTCCAAGTACTCTTTAACTCTTGAATTAATGGTTTCTTTTAACAGTAAACAGATTTCCTATAGAAAAATTAAAAATTAAGAGATAACTCTGATTTAATGCAATGCAAAAAAGTCAACATCATGCACATTAAAAAGTTAACAGTGAACATTTCATTTTGTTTGCTTTTTAAATTAGCTATGAATGCTGATAAGAATGTTTTTATATACTCATAGACAATACTGGAGATGCAAATTTGCTACTGAGGTTTGTCGGCCCATTCTGTGATCTATGAAATTCATTTACTTTCTTTTTCTTTTCCTTAGTTTCACATTTCTAAAAGGAAGATAAAAACACCTCACTGAAAAATTAGAGCACAAGCCCTGGTCGGTGTGGCGAGGTTGGATGGAGTATACTGAAAGGTTGTGCGGTCAATCCCCAGTTGGGGCACACAAGAGAGGCAGCCAATTGATGTATCTCTCTCACGTGGATGTTTATCTTTCTTTCCCTTGTCCCTGCTCTAAAATGAATTATAACAATTTTTTAAAAAAAACTATAGTGACAAGGTGGTGAAATCAGTGAGGTGAAGACTATTATCATGTAAATATCAACCAGTTCTAATGAGACACTGAGATCCCCAAGCAAATGCTCACTGTGGCCAGGCAGATGACTGTGGCAGAAGGAGCCAGGGAATATTCAGAGGGAACCCTGACACCAATCCACTCAACGGGGCAGCCCCCAGGGCTTACAGTGGGAATACATACAAGGCACCAGATTCTCCAATTTTGTTCAATAGGAACCAGAAACTTGTATTTTATACAAAATTTTTCAAATGTGGTTCAAAAACTTAAAATCTAAACACTGCCATTCATTAGTTTCTAGCCTCAGGCTTACAAATCTACCAAAAAAGGGAAAGGTATTGAGTAGTGAGTTGAATAGAGAACTGGAAATCAATAATCTGATTTTCTTCCATACTCTTGTTGATGATACTATATATACTCATTTACACTACATTCACCTAATAATGATTAAAATAATTTAACTTTTCATATTTCTCTAAAGTAGATTCATATTTATTAGGTAACAGAAGCTCATGGTTTTAATTCAATGTCAATATATTGATACCTTACCACAGCAAATTTCTATAGCTGTCTATTGTTTTATGTATCAATCCTATATAATAAAAGGCTAATATACAAATCAACTGAATGGCGGAATGAACGGTCACTATGATGCACAGTGACCACCAGAGGGCAAATGCAGGAGCTGCCCCTGGTAGTCCGTATGCTCCCACAGGGAGAGCACTGCTCAGCTAGAAACTGGGCTCCACTAAGGATGTCTGACTATGATGAGCAGGCCTAAGCCAGCAGTAGGACATTCCCCAAGGGCTCCCAGACTGTGAGAGGGCAGAGGCCAGGCTGAGGGACATCCCCTCTCCTCCGAAGTGCATGAATTTCATGCACCTTATTTCGTGTTATTTATAAAAAAGAAAAACAAAACTTTAAAAGTATAACCATGCACTGGAAAGAAACTGTCCACATTAGCCATACTAGCAGAAAAATATAATGTAATGTAGGAAAAGGGAAAAATGCAAACTAATCTAAATTTCTTAGATTAAGACATGATGCATAAGGACTGATGATTCTGGTTCAATTCCTATAGACTCTGAAGAAGGCTCAGAGTTGCCGAGGTCACCTCAAACCTGTTCCACTGGTTTCTTGCAATGCCATCTCAGATTAATCTCTTAGAATCTTTATAAATTAAAATAAGAACAAAGTTTTAAGTTGCTTCAAAGGGCAATGAGAGCCAAACTTGACTTTTATTGTAAACACATGTACTTCTCAAACAGTACAGAAAACACTAGATTTAACTCACACATGTAAGTTTTTAGGTAATATACAAAACTGGTCCCCTCTCTCCTGCTCTCATTTTGCAGCCCAAAGATGCAGTGCCTTGTGGAATACAGAGATATCCGCTTACAGTTGAGTGTCTTGGCATTGTTCACACAACAGAAAGGCTGCCTTGCCTCATACTGTTGTTTTAACAATTAAAGAATTTTGCTTCACATGCAGGGTTCAACGATGACTGAGCCTGAAAATATGTCAAAGACATACATGGAAATAAAGATTGTTAAAATTTGGCCATAAATGCCCTATAAGGCTAGAACTAAAAATAGCATGACAAAAAATAAAGCAAAGGCCATACACACAAACTTTCTCCCTATAGTTACGGGGCTTTCCTTCGATGAGTCAGGTTTGACGAATGGAAGGTAGACCACGTGCAATGTAGTCAAGATACCCTAGTAACTGACCACACCACACTTAGCAAATCATTCTCTTCAGAACCAGAGCAATGCAAGAGAAGACAAATTCCCAGTGAAATTGGAGGGGCAGATGAGAAGACTAACTTACATATGTATCTCTAGGCTAACAGGGGCTCATGTTTGTTTTTTCAAGTTTACACATAGAACAGTTTGAGTTCAACTGTTTGGGTACACAGGCTACTTGTGCTGGACTCAAAATAAACATATGTTTAATACATGTAACTAGCTCCTTTTTCTGAAAAGGAACTGCATATTCTTAAAACCTTTACTATATAAAGTGGCTGTTAAAATGCAATCAAATTGATTGCTCATGAAATCTCAAGCATGAGATAGATGACCTAATGATAAAAAAATGAGAGCACTGAGACACTGAACATAGGCTGAAGCCATATGGTCCTTTTCTTGACTAGCTTTTCTCCCTACCACCTTCATCCCTCCATGTTTGTCTGTGTCCGTCTGTCTCTCTCTCTTTCTACAGACACACACACACACACATTATCCCAGAGCAATTTTTTTAATATATATTTTATTGATTTTTTTACAGAGAGGAAGGGAGAGAGATAGAGAGCTAGAAACATCGATGAGAGAGAAACACCGACCAGCTGCCTCTTGCACACCCCCAACCGGGGTTGTGCCCACAACCAACGTACATGCCCCTGACCGGAATCGAACCTGGAACCTTACAGTCCGGAGACCGACGCTCTACCACTGAGCCAAACCAGTTTCGGCAGTCCCAGAGCAATTTTTAATGTCAGGGAACATACATTAAAGAAATTTAAAGGAAGTTCACTTTGGGAGCAAAGCCCGGCTTGTTGGCATGACTCGCCTTTTTGCAGTTGCCACTGCAGCAAGGTCTGCAGGTCCGATCGTGCCCTGAGCATCTTTGCTAAGTCATGCCCTGCTGCCCGGATGTAGGTACTAGGAGGAGTGGCACAGCTGCATGTGGCACCCTGGAAAAATCTAGCCTCACGCTTTGGCGAGGAGGTGATTCACATACCCACAGCTTTATTTTAAAGCCTTCCAAATAAACTGACTCTTGGCAAAACTGACTGAATATCAACAGAAATGTCTAAGGCTGAGGTGGTAAAGTTGGGAGAATTATAGAGGGAAATATGGATTCTAGAGTGTATGTCAAGTCAGAAGTCTTTTAGGGGAGGTGCCTTCAGTCACTTTGGTAAATGAACTGTTTTTAATTGAATCATGGAGACATGCAAAGCTTGGAATTATATGAAGGTGAGATGTAATAGGAGATGCTGGCCTACTAAATATTAGTCTGGATGAGAACAGTGCACAGTTATTTACCTGAAGGGTAAATCCCATCACTCAGGATCTGGTGCCTTCTTTCTCCCAGTTTCAGACCACTACATATTATGAAACTATGACAGCAAAGTCCCCTGATAATTTTATCATCTTTTGATTGAAAATGTTCTTTTAGGGAGATTTTTTTCCCCTAGTGATCTCCAAAAACTAACTGAAAAGTTATCACAGTAAAGGTGTGTGTGTGTGTGTGTGTGTGTGTGTGTGTGTGTGTGTGTGATTAGCACTAGTGTCTTCTCCAGGCACCATCTTTTAATCAAACTTATTTTTATTTCTAGCTCTAAGGAACTTTGTGACAAATAAATACCATTACACAAACTGTGTAATAATTTGAAAGTTACTTAAAGGCCATTGATTGCTTCGCTGTCTGGGCTCCAGTAACCAGGGATCTGAAGAAGGAAGCACAGCACGGGATGAGAGCTGATGCACCTTCTGACCCTCTTCCCAGGCAGCACTTGGGTGGGGAGCATATAAGAGCCTGGAGTGACTCAGACAGCTCTGTGGAACCCTTTCATTGCAGATGAGGAGGCCGAGGCCAGGGAGGTCAGAATCATGCTCCCAGTCAAACAGCTATTCACTTTTCTGCCTCACCATCCCTTAGCGACTGAGTGTGGTGAGAGAAGGAACACTGTTAAAAATCTCTGCACTTGTTGTCACAGGCTCACGCTAATAAGAGGATAGTGGATGATAAAAGTGCACTAGACTGGGACTTCGCACAGGTGTGACAGATCAGCCTTGTGTGAGCCCCCACACCTGCTCCAGGTGCTGGGTCCATCCTGCATAACCAGTCAGATTAAAACCCCTGCTTACCTGCAATAGTCACTTTAACTTCTTCTTGTAATACTGAGTAACCCTTCCCTCAAAACAAAGAGGTAGGAACTTTCTGGATTAAATGACAGAGTAACAGATGAAATGTATGGACGTGTCAGTGTCTGAAGGAAAATAAAACAGCAAGCATATGTCTGCCATTGGGAAGTTAACACCTATTTTTCAAGGGTAAAATATCACTCAATATTCTCGCCCACCAATTAAAATAAAAGCCTAAATATTTCTCCTAGCAATGGCTACTTGCATTTAGATAGTGAAAAGTCTTGTGGTACCTCTTTGTTCTGTTCAGAAAACCAGCTGGTGTCTTTGTTTGATCCTTGCGGTGAGATGTGAAGATCCACCAGGACAGCAAAATCCCTGCACTGAAAGACAGTGATGGCAGAGTCAGCACACACACAGCAAACGATGAGAGAAAACCACACAAATTCCTACGTGGCTGCTCATGAAATAGCAACCAAGTACAACTACTAGACAGAAATGTTCAGAGCGGGCAGGACTACCACTCATAACCTATTACTCTTTGCAAGCTTAGTATTTATGGTAGGAATGCTAAGGAGAAGTGTCATTTTAAATCAGGATAGAAGAGACAACATATTTATCTCTGGGCCACGCCTTGAGGGGGATGCCTAGGCATCCAGTGGCAGTCGGAAGACTTTCAAACACTGAGAAGTAAAATAGGTCAGAATTAGGTGGGCTCCAGGAAAGAATGAGTCTGTGGACAGCCAGCAGAATTTTTTCTTCTAGCTAGGGGAGAACAAATATGTAAGCTCCTATATTTTTAGGCAGACAAGAGGATTGGCAATGACAATGAATCTTGGAATAGAAATAGAAGCCCAAATGGATGAAAAGAACCAAGGAGAGGAAGGCAGATGATGAATGACAGTTATCAAAACTACAGAGGTTTCATTCACACCTACCACTGTGCACAAGGCCTGTCTTCTTTCTTATTCTACCTGAGGCCCAATGCATGAAATTCATACAAGAGTAGGCCTTCCTTCCCCTCTCCCCCTCACCCCCTGCTGCCGGCACCAGCTCCCCTCTGGCACCCACAACAAGGGCTTCCCTTGCAGCCCCGGCTTAATCCGTAAGGTCGTCTGGGAAGGACAGCTGGTCTAATTAGCATATTATATTGATACTTTTATTATTATAGATAGGCTAGTGCTGTGTGGCACTTGTGAAAAAAATGGAAATATTGTATCTGCATTGGTTAACAGGGTAGCCAATAGCCACATGTGGCTACTGAGCACTTGAAATCTGGTTATTGTGACCCAGAAGCTAAATTTAAAATTTTTATTTGGCTTTACTTTGGACAGCCACATGTGGCTAGCAGCTCTGTGACATAGCTACAGACTCTGTGAAGAGCTGTAGCCTTAGAAATCCTCAACCTTAGGAATAATTTCTGAGAGTCTCAGGATAACTGTGGAAGGCCTACCTTAGAAAGGAATTGAAGACCAAGACTATATAGGTAGAGGGTAGTCTAAGAGGCCCAGAGGGTCTGTTTATGTCCCACAAGAAAAGAACACTTTTGTACTTCTTTGGCTAACAGGTTTTATTTGTTTTTATTTTAAATGCTGTGTGATAGGTGAAAAGAAAGTCTTTTCAATTAATGGTTTGAGAATACCAACTACAAATATGGAAAAAATAAAACAACAACTACCTCACACCATAGACAATAATTAATTTGAGATGGATCACAGACCCAAACATAAAAACCAAACTATCTTCCTGACTTTGGGGTAAGAAAATATTTCGTAGACAGGACTCTAACCCAGAAAGCACTAAATATAGAAAACAAAAGGGTTCAATTAGACTTGTCAAATTTTAAAACTTTTGGCCATCAAAAGACACCATTAACAAAAGAAATATGTGTGTCATAGACTGGAAAAAATACTCATAAATACATATATCTGACATAAAAGATGGGCATTCATGCCCTGACCCCTGTGGCTCAGTTAGTTAAGTATCTTCCCATGCACTGAGAGGTTGCTGGTTCGATTCCTGGTCAGGGCATATGCCCTGGTTTATAGGCTCAATCCCCTGTAGGGGGTGTGCAAGAGATAGCCAATCAATGTTTCTTTCTCTCCCTCTCTAAAATCAATAAAAATATATTTAAAATTTTTAAAAGATGGGCAAATAAAATATGTAAAGAACTCCTACAAATTCAACCAACCAACCAAACAAACAAAAAAACCCCACAAACAACACCAACTTTAACAAACAAGAAAAACAAATGGCTGATAAACACATGAAAAAAGTGTTCAACATCAGTCATAAGACAAATGCAAATTAAAATCGCCAAGAGATACAACTATATACCTCTGAGAATGACTACAATTAAAAAGACTGATATACCAAAACTTGTTAATGATGTGGAACAACCCAAACTCTAACACATTGATATGGGAAATGTAAACTGGCGAACAACTCTAGAAAATAGTTGGTCAGTTTCCTATAAACATACATTTATTGACTGACTGAGCCAGCAATTCTATCCTATGTATTCACCAAGCGAGATAAAACATGCACACACAAAAAGACTTGGAAGAAAATACTCACAGAAGTATTATTCATAATAGCTTAAGTCTATCTACAGAAGTAGATTCATTCAATGGATATATTCATTCATTCAACTAAACTACTGATACACTCAACATGGACTAATCTCTAAAACATAATATTAAGCAAAAGAAGCCAGGCTAAAATATATATTGTAGGCTTTCATTTATATAAAGTTCTAGAACAGCAAAACTAAATGTATGATCAAAGCAATCAGAACAGTGATTGCCATAAAATATACACAAACACATAATGAAATAGATTAAAAAACAAAACAAAACAAAAATCAGAGTGACTGCCTAGGTAGAAATTGAGAACAGGCACAAGAGAACTTTATATGGTGATGGGAATGTGAAATATTTTGATAGCATATGTGCCTAAGATCAGTTCCTTCCCTTGTATAGAAATAATACAACAAAAATAAACAATGTTTTAAAATGCTGAGTAAAAGTATGTTCATATTTGTTAACAGTTATTTAAAATATAAGTATTATGTCCCTGAAAATGTGTGGGTATTTTGGGGGGAACCAAAGTGAAGTTCACTGGGTAATAAATCATGAGGTATGATGAAAGTTGATCTCCCCTAATGTCAAACGGTACAGTGTGACTTACTGCACTGCAGTTCAGTGTGTTGCAACAGGCATTTTAGTTTAGTGAAAGAGAATCTTGAAATGGATTAAGAAATATCAATGGGTCACATGGTAAAGTGGAGTATTGTTTTGTGAAACTTCTGTAGGAGTGTACTGAGTTATGATGTAAAGCCCATTTCTAATTGTGGGCTGTGGTCAAAACTGTTTGAAAACCATACTCAAATATACTGTTATTTTAAAAAATTCCTTCACAACAGTTGATTACACATTTAACCTTTCAGGAGTATGCTGCCACCAGGTGGAGGTCTTTTGCCACAACTACATGTTCTTAGCAAGGGGTTATTAACCTTTCATATGCCGTGGACCTCTTTGGCAAGCTCCGAAGCTGATAAAATTTGCTCTGAAAAATGTTTTTAAATGCATGAAACACAATGAATAGAATTTAAAAGAAAACCAATTTTACTGAAGTATGATTATCCAAATAAAAAGAAAATTTGTGATACAGTAATGTGTGTAGTTATTTAAGGCATTGGCTCTTGTGAGCTAGAGGTGGGTATAACTACTATAAATTCAAAGTAGTGATAAACATAAGCTATATATTCAGACTAGAGGCCTGGTGTATGGAATTTCTGCACTGGATTGGGGCAAGGGGGAAGAGAGCTCCTGCTTTCAGCAGGATCTGGCTGAAACCAGCTCTCTGACATCCCCCAAAGGGTCCCAGATTGTGAGAGGGTGCAGGCCAGGCCACAATCAAGATGCACGATCAAGACTGGGAAAGGACATGGGAAGTTGGCCAGCTGGGGAGAGACCCAAGGAGGTCTCCAGGGCGTGTCCAGCCCCTCTTGCTCAGTCCAGATCTGCTGGACCCCAGCACCAAGCTAACCTACTGGTTGGAGCGTCTGCCTCCTGGTGGTCAGTGCACACATGGCAACTGGTCAATCGGTCGACTGCCCACAGGTAGTGAGTGCACGTCATAGTAAATGGTTGAGCGGCTTTAGCATATTATTAGTATACTAGAAACCCGGTGCATGAAATTCATGCACAGGGAGGGTGTGTCCCTCAACACAGCCGGCACTCTCTCCAATCTGGGACCTCTTGAGGGATGTCCAACTGCCTGCTTAAATCGGCAGTCTTTCCTCTCACAATCCAGGACTGCTGGTTTCCAACTGCTCACCTGCCTGCCTGTCTGATTGCCCCTCACTGCTTCTGCCTGCCAGCCTGATTGACACTTAACTGCTGGCCCGATTGCCCCTAACTGCCCACTCCTGCCAGCCTGTCACCCCCATCTGCCCTCCCCTGCTGCCCTGGTTCCCCCCAACTACCCTCCCCTGTAGGCCTGGTCACCCCCAACTGCCCTTCCCTGCAGGCCTGGGTCCCCCCAAACTGTCCTCCCCTGCTGGCCTGATCACTCACAACTGCCCTCCCCTCCTGACCATCTTGTGGTGCCCATCTTGTATCCACTTGGGGGTGACCATCTTGTGTGTTTGAGTGATGGTCAAATTGCATATTACTTTTTTATTAGATAGGATTACACTTTTAGTGGTTGAACTGGAGACCAGATGACTGACGCTTAACATATTAGGCTTTTATTATATAAGATATGTGCCACAACTATAATATAATATGAAAAGATATTTGGTTTCTAATGGTGACAAATATTGCTAATACTATTGTGTTCTGAATACTCCACTCATAAATACATTTATTAGAATTTGGTCAAAATAAAGATTTTAACTTTCTTTCCCACCCAAGTTCATGGGCCTGTGAATTCTACCACAGGCCTGCTGAGGCTCCATGGGTTGCCAACCGAGAGCCCCTCCAAAGCAGTGAGGTGTGCCTCAGATATTGCTAGTGGATGCAAAATATAATGTAACACATTGTAGGGGTTCTACCCTGACTCCTCTTTGCTTCCCCTTCTCCATTAGCAAAAATAATTTTTAAAATAGTAAAACAAAAACAAACAAACAAACAAACAAACAAACGTGATGCTTCAAAAATCTTGACTAATACTATGTAATAGTAACTTTCTAAAGAATTAAATAGCAAGATCCAATTTGGTGTTTTCTCATCATTTTGTAACTTTGATCACAAATAACTTAGTGTAGGTTTGATCATAAACAGACTGATTAGAATGTCTTTTTAATTTTTTTAAAATAAATCATCGTCTTACTCTGGTGCTCAAACTTTCCCAGGATTTCTGCCAGACTCCAGCGCGG